CATTTACCCTCTGCTTGAACTGCATTATATGTTCTTTCATGCAAGAAGGCTAAAGGTAAAACAAAAAGTCTCAGTTGTGTGCTTAAGAGAATATGTGCTAAATCAAACCATTTCTGTGAGTTATGTTTGCCTGTGCTCCTTTGCAGAAAAATTTGGACAAGTTTTGTGCAAATTCCGTCAGACTGTCACAACAGACAATATAGCTGTGCTTTGAATATCTCAAATACCATCAAACCATAAATACCAGTGAGCTGATCAGAAACACCACCAAACCAAAAATTCCAGTGAGATGCTCAGAATCAGTATATGAGATGCTGGTCAGTAAAGCAAAGCAAGTCATTTAAGTTATGAAGTGACAATGGCAATTGGTGCATTATGCTGATACAGCATGTTAGGGCAGATCAGAGCTGCTGAAACACCATGAATTGCTGCCAGCTGTGGGAGGGCAAACAGGAAAATTAAAAGATGTCCTAAGTCATCCTGCAATTTTTCAGCCCCCAAAAACCCCCAAACCCATACAGATGCTTTTATGTCTGACAGAGCATCCAAACAGTATCACAGCCCATTCTGGTATCTGCACAACAAGGTCAAACTCCACATCTAAACATTAAGTATCAAGAGCAGACTGCCTCAAATATGGATATGGATCAGGCCCTCCAGCTTGGTCCTTACTTCATACACTGACAACTGTGCTTCTGCTACATTAACCTCAGTCAGCATCTCTGTCACCTACCCCGGTCCACATTCCCGTTTGTTGGCTGGAGGCTTGAATAATTTGTTTTGAAAGTACAAAATCATAACATAATTCATCTTTAAAAAGACATGAGAGTTCTGCTGGTCTGTGCAGAACTCGTGCCTTTGGAGGCACGGTGATGAAGAGACTGCAAAATGATGGGAAAGCCTGGCATATGCGACTGTAGACAGGAATTTTAAAAATTACATCCAATGGAATACATTACTGAAGAAAGCTAACTGGAGAAATTACCTGTGAAAATTGACACTCCAGTGTGTCACATTTTCATGATGGAAATCAAGGCATACAGCAAAAATTTTCAAATAGCACAACACAGTGATGGGGGGGAAGGCTGCCGTGTATCTATCTGGGCCTTGCAAGGACAAAGGATTTTCTGGGCTTGGCTTGGATATGTGATACATTCATGTGCATCAGACTTCTGTTTCCTGAATATTTCAGATTAGTTCTGCACCCACCATACAAGCTCTTTAACACTTTAAGTGCTGTAACTGACTGGAGTAATATTGTGTCTCTGCTGTTCAGAAATCTTAAGCAATTCTGCCAAATCCTCCAGCTCTACGGAGAGGAAATTTTTAAATGGAAAGAGAAGATACATCAACGGAAATCCAGATGTCTCCATGCAAAGGCCACTGGCATGTCCAAGCATAATGCCACAGAGCTTTTTCAGGAACAATCTGATTCCCAGAAGGCCACGATGTAGTAGGAACAACCCAAGAATGTGAATGTACTCTGCTGAAACAGCTGTGCCAGGAACAATATGCTGTTAGAAATGTTTCTGGTAGAACTCTGTAACACAGATATCTGGTACACAGTATTATTCTGCTGCTTCAAAATCTGCACTCTCAGTCTTTGGGATTGTAAGAATTTGACACCTTTACGTTAATTTAGATATGTTGTATTATCTTGGCATGAGAAAAAAGATCTCATTTGCAGATACCATGCAAGAAGATATAAATATTTAGCAGAGGTAGCAGGCACCAAACCAGAGATCTTCATTTTTAGGGAGATTACAGAGAAAAGAACTACCAAAGTTATGGATATCAATGAATGAGTGTTCCCTATATTAGAGAATTAATGGGACTGGACAATGGGTAAATGGGAATACATATTATCCCATGCTGCAAAGGAACAGAACAGTATGATCCTGTTAGAGGATGCCTCAAGTCAATATTCTTGTGCTGTACCTTATCTGTGGTCAAAAGCAAATTTCATTTACTAACAGTCCAGCAGTCTTTTCATTCTATTTGCTTCAGGAAGAGTATCTGCCTCTCATCTTTTTGCAAGTGTTTATATTTTTAAAAAATTGGAATATCACAGTATGTTACACAAAAAAATGCATTTCCCCTAGAAATGGAAACACTTCTCCATCTCACTCTTTTATTTAGTGTTTAGAAGGTAATTGCATTATGGTAGTTAGTTATTGCATTACAGTAGTTAGCTCTACTAAGAGCTTCATAATTGGAGTGTTGAATATTCAGGTTCAGTAATAATTTTCTCAAGAGTTATCTGTCAACACCCATAACTCACCACAAAACCAATGATGTCACTTCTGGTATGCTTTTCAATACTTTGGTGCCTGCCAAAGTAAAAGTCAATAAGATATTTTTCCATGGCTGATCCTTCGTAAGTGGCTCCAGCGGCATTCCTTTTTGGAAGTCTGCCATCCTGGCTTTTGGAACTGCATAATCCCAGTTTTATGAGGCTACGCCAGCAAGCACACCTCAAACCACAAAAGTATTTTCAAATTTGTTAATTACTCCATTTGACTGGTTACCATGAAACACTGCGCTGAATAACACTGATGGAATTTATTGAAAAATAGCGCATAATTTTCTGAGTATGCATGTGATAACAATGGAGCTTTACCTGACTTCTGGTCAGGTGGGAAAATCTCTTCTCTGCCACACAGGAACACACTTCTCCATTTTAATATTTAATATATGCATTATAAAACACTTTTGAAATTACAAGGTCTGCAAATCTCACTTAAGATATCACTAAGTTTTGCACTGCAACACAATTCTGTAATGAATATCTCTGTTCTTCAGCGCCAGGAAACCTACAGATTTCTCTCTTTGAATGTTTCAGGTCAGCCTGGTTCTCACAGCAATTCACCCTAAATCCACCTTTAAAGTGTCAAGATTTTAAGATAAATTGTTCTGACAATTGTCCTGACAAATTAGGTCTTCTAAGCACTCAGATTACAGATCTATCTACTTAATAGCTGCACATTTCTCATTAATTTTTTTCTACCACATTCAGAAACCTCCTCCTTTTCAAAGTGTTCATGAAATTAAGGTAACCACTGATGTCATAGAGCACAAGCCACAATTAGCTGATTATTTGTTCTTACACCAAACCTCATCTAAAAAATTATGTTGAAATGTTTACATTGTTATTTAGTATCAAGCCATCCACATGGGAAAAAAAAATCATTAAAGTCCTACTTCCCACAGTGAGATGAAGGGCCTCAAATTATTTCCTGCCCAAACCAACACGAGCTCTTTTCCACCAGCTTGAGTGGCCATACAAGCGATGCAGACTGTGAGTGATATGCAGAGAAAAATAAGAATAAAAAGTTACAGTTTAAAATATTTTCATAAACCATTTCTGAGGAAAAAAGCCAATTAAAATTATCAAATGTTGAATTTATTATATTTGAATATTTTATTTCTTTTAACATACAAACCTCAGTTTTGTGTGAAAAGTCTTCTGAAATTAAAAGTTAAAGTTTCTAAAGCAGGTATGATACCTGTTTTACTTGCAACTGCAATGTGGTATACATACAGTCATTTTGCAAGTACTTGTTAAGGAGCATTAATTTCCAACTGAGGAGTTGGAAATTCTAACTACAAGCTAACTTCTCACCAGCCTTCATTTTTTCTTTTTCAAATATGAGCTAGAGATTTAACTTGGTCTCCTTGTTCAGAGTACCATAATGAAAATATGAAGATTTCAGACTAAGGAATAGCATTAAGGGTGCTTAGTTAACTAATTAAATTATAGCAGTTCCTTTAAATGCTGAGGTTCTCACTCCACTGCTGTATATACTATTCACCTTTATAAAAGCATCCTGGGCTACACTTGGAAAAGTAAAACGGAAATACAGTCCCATCCTAGTGCAATCTTCATCAAGTTTTATCAATATTTAAAATATTTTTGTGAATATTTAAACAGGATCAAAATGCTTGAAGTCAACTATCTAATAAATATTTTTATTAGTCAATATTATGGAGCAAACACTGAATTACAGATTTTTCAGATTACACATGGTCCATCACACACTATTTAGTAAATCACAAATTAATTATGCAGTAAATAATCACAGAACTATTTCCCTCAGACTTTGGGAACAGATTGGATGAATCTTTTCAGCCCCTTTGTCATCAAGGATGGTTTAAAAAAACATCAATTCCATTGAAAGGTCTTCAGAGAAGACTTTTTTCTGGTGGTTGTTCGTTAACTGTTAAACTCTGACAAGCTTCAAAACCATGTCTAGGATTATGTGATTTTTGTGTGTTTTTTTTTTTTTTAATAACGAAGCAAACTAACAGTTAATAGTTAAAAAAAAAAAAAACACACAACCCCAAGATCAGTCCCTGTCTCTTTTGCCATGGATGCTGAGCCACCCACATGCTAAATCTTCACATGGCTGATCTTGGCTGTTACCAGAAGAAATGTTTCAACAGCAGCTGCTTTTCCAAAAGAAGTAGCTTCAACTAAAGAAAGAAATCCGTGTGGCCTACATCGCTCTGGCTTGTAAGAAACCAAACTATAAGAAGTGTATGAACCCATTAAGTTGGACTCATTTGTAGTCATGTCCCTTTGTAGAAACAGGGCCTGCACAGTTGACAGAAGAAGGAGCACTTTAGAGCAAGGAGTAATTTTGACTGTATTAATAAATAACATGGAGGGAGTATTATATTGGAGCAATGAGAGGGGAGTCAGAACACATTAACTTTGGGAGCATCCCCTCTGTAGAGCACCCTCCAGAATCACAGGATGGCCACCCCTTCCTCCCCTGCCAACACCACTGTGACAGCTCATGAAGTGAAGTGCCTGTGCATGTAATATGCCAAAGAATATTCCAAAGGTGGATCTCAATGAAAAAAACCTCCACAACTTTTAAATACATTCAAACTAATCACGGGGAAAAAACAAAATATTATCTTTCAAAATTATTCACAAATTGAAATTTGGCCTTCTGAAGGAAAGTATGTGAAGGTGAGATATCCATTTCTCTTACCTTCGTGATGGTCTCGTGCAGACTGAAGGAGGGATCCAGCTCTTCAGTTTTTGTTGCATGTACAGGAAAAAGAGCTTCAGAGAGAAAGCTAGAATTCTGTGAGAAAGAAGTAAGAAGTCTTTTAGGATTCCACATTGATTTCCTCCTTCAAATGCTTATTGGATTTTGTTGAGAGACTGAAAAACCCTTCAAATTGTTCTTAAGTTTTGACAATTATGAAACTTATTTCACTGATCTAATTAACTGATTCCAAGTTCCCGAAAAAGGCAAAAAAAGCCCTAAGTCTTATGACTTTATTTCTGGAATGGCAGTTGTCTCTGTTATTATGCTTCCAAAGCAGCTAAAAATTTTGCCTACGGGGAGAAAAAATATCCAGTTTTCATTCTGAGCTAGGCAGCAGACATTTTATTAAATATGTTATGATTGAAGTCTTCAAAAGAAATGTAACCACAATAATCAAAGAATACTTTTTTATCTTCTGCAACCATCCTACTTCTCTATACAGTAATACCATCTAACATAGCAAGGGATTTTTGTCAATTCCTTAAAACTATATACTTTAGGTTGACCACTCTTTTAACATGAGGCAATCTTAATACATCATTTGTACAAGATATTAATCTCTTCTTGTACTGTAAGAAAGGAAGAAGTGAGGTTGCAAAATTGGTATCACATGGAAAAAAACAAACTTAATCCCAAGGAGTGGTGTGAAAAAATGCAAAACAATAGAAAACAAAACTTCAAGCCTCAAAAGTGCACAGATGCCTAAAATTACATTACATTACATTGCTGGTAGGTTTGCTTGTTAACTTTTTTTACAAATTAATGCCTCCATGATCAATAGTATACCAGAATTTCCATGTTGCTAGGAGATTATTTCCAGTAGAAAGCTCCCATCACCTTCTTTAAAAAAATAAATATATAATTGGCACTGAATCATATAAATTTTCCATGTTTATTATGCATCTGTGTGTTGCATAAGTTGTCACAGAAGCATCAGAAAAATAAATGAAGTCATTCTTCCCTTCGGGAAACCAGTAAACTTTTTTTTATACATATATCTCAGGGAGAAGATGCACAAAGTCATTTATTACAAAAAAAAAAAAACATACTTCAAGATTAAGTCATAACACCTATTCATCTTTGTTTTAAGTTTGCACACTAGTTTATCATCTGACTGGGGGTCTGTTCAGGAGCACCATCATTCTGCTGCGGTGGTGCTAATGCTGTTCATCATCATTCACATAATTGCAATCAATAACTTAGAAAGAACCACATTATTTATATTCACTCTAGAGTACCTCACTGAGAGTCAGTGAAGGGAATGACTGATGATTTAGATTTGTTACACCAGATCAGATTATTGTTCCATCTAGACAAATATTCTTTCTCTGGAATCTAAAACTTGGTGGATTCCCTGTCTGTAAAACAGGGAGATGCTGCTTAGCTGGCTTTTCTCCCACTCTACTCCAGGCACACCTCCCAGCCAAACTGAGATTACAGCAGCTGGGCCAGGCAAAACAGCAGCCTTTGCTTCTGCCTTCTGCCTTTTGAAAGAACACGATGTAAATAAGCAACAATCAGCAAATAGTTCATAACACATCTAGGCATCACAAGTGGCAAGTCAGTTTGCTCATGAAGGAATCCAGACCCTGTGTGATAAGATCTTGAAAAGGATCACTATTTGAAATAATCTTGCTCTGCATTTATAAAAGGAAATGTTTAAAGCAATTGTTGTTTCTTTTTTTTCTCCCCCAAAAAGGCTCCTCTATAAAGAACTACTAGAAAGGCCAACTTACTCTGCTTCTCTTGTCTTTTATTGCCTTTCAAGCACTATCCTCATCAGAGAAAGTTGTATGAACTTCCTAGCTAAGAGAAGCCCACTCTTTATCACAGGGAGGATGTGGCAGAGAGATGAGCCCAAATGATGTTCCAAGAGCACCTCTCAGCATTTTACAGCAAGAGCAACAGTTTCCAGCCGTGAGAAACTGCATCAGACTTCACATTTATTCTTTCAGCAAGGTCACAATAGCAAGTGAGTGTTGGGTTTTGGTTTTTTAACAGCAATTTGATAAGCAAATTTCTAGCAACTACGCACTAAGAAAAAGAAATGCTAATCCAAAGAACATTAAAACCAACTATGTTATTCCTTTATGCTTTCCAACCACAGTAGGAGTTACAGCTGCAGTTGTTGTCCTCATACTCTGCCACACTCACTTCCTAAACACAAATCATCTGCCTTCATTCTTAGCCAGGCATTTGTATCCCCCTCAGTTTGTACAATGGGCAGAGCCTCCCATGCACTGTGCAGCTGAATGCTGTGACAATGATGCCAAATTACAGAAAAACTATTTCAAGGTCAGACCACTGTGAGACATCCTAAAATTTAGGAGGCCCAACTTCCAGTCATGCTTTCAAAATTTTCTACTCAATGTTTATTGCCTTCTCTAATTTTTTCTTTAAGCTCACAGCTATCCAATGGATAAAGAACATTTGCTCTTCTGATAAAAAGTTGTGTTTTCATCATACAACCTTTACAATCCTGAAAGGATCACCCCAATAATCCCTGAATTCCCAATGCAACTATTGGTTTCTCTATGAGTTTTCATAAGAGAAATGAACATGTATTTGGAAGTAGATTTCCAAACCCTCTCCTTGTCTTATCTTCTTTTTGGAATGATCAGTTAACCTGGTCTTTTCAATACTCATTTAATGAAGCATTCTGTGAAATTAGAAAGACATTGATGTTCCACTTTTCAAATAATAGGTCACTTCTGATTAAACTTCGATCGAACATTCAACTTTCAATCTTAAAACAAATTGCTTCCTTTTCTTTTTAATTTGAACCCAATTTCCTGCTGCCCTCGGGTCTTGTGACAGTAATTAATTGATTTATGAATCAATTAAATGGAGATCGAAAATGCAGGTGAAAATCCTTTAAACCCCCAAACGTGGCTTAGTCTTGCTTATTTATGATGGACACTTGCACTAAAATTCACTTCTGATTTACTAGACTCATTTTTCTAACTTAACTTATCCTTCCTGAACCAATTAAGTGAACAGAATGTTTCACCTTCTAAAGGTACTAAATTTGCCATCCCTTGTGTACTGTCTTATAACATACCTTCAATTTATATGCCAACTTTCAACCAATGCATTTTAAATCGTGAGTAAAATCCCACTACACTTCTGGTAATTTAATGTAAAACAGAATAAATACCAAGACATACCTTAAAGATCTATTCTGCTGTCATTAAATAAAAAAAAAAGTTTTAAAATGTCAAATTTTACCACACGTTCTCTTAGAACTGGAAATATTTCTTTAAATACATGCAACAAACAATTTTTTTACTAGGCCAAGACAATGCTGCCTCTACAATATGTTCTGTTTTCTTGACTAATACTTTAGAAAAAGCAAAATTACCAGTTAGAAGAATTCTGAATTTATAAACTCAAATTATGTAACAAATAATTCCTTAATATGCTCTTATTCCACACCTGAATAGATTTTTCCTGCCTGATGATTATTCCCCATTATTTAAAAGAAAGCATTTATAAGGAGCCTTTAATTTGGTGAACAATACACAAATATCTCCAGGTTTTTTTTTTTTTGAAGTGGTTTCTTTGTTGTTTGTTTGTTTTGAAAGTAACAGTCAGTGGAGGTTTCTCCACTCAGCAATAATGCTCAGTCTAGACAAACAATCTCTAGTCTGAAGTTCTTTAATCAGTTTGACTTCACCCTTGTTAATATTCATCTGAATTGTCCATACTTGGGTCAACTTTGTCCTTCAGCCCTTCACAATATTCATGCCATCAATTTTATACTCAATAAAAGTAAAAGACAAAAGGAGGTACTACAGAGCACAACAGAGAAAAAGCAGAGAGAGCAAAAATCCATCTGAAATTTGTACAGGTAGGTCGAAAGTATAAATGTGCTAATCTAACACTGCTGAAGCCTCCAAAGCAAATACACAAGAGAAGGATGAAAGCCAAGAGAAAACTGTTTGTGGTTTTGTTTTTTTTTTTTGTCACACAGACCAAAGAATAATGTCTAGAAGATGAGAATTTAGAGGTTGCTTTCACTGCATCAGGACTGAGAATACAATCTGTTACCTGTCCACATATACATATATATACATACATACATATATATATATATATATATATATATACACATGCTATATCTGTTCTATGAGCTATTAACCTGTTTCATTCTTTCTGCCTTTTTGTAATACAACAGCATAAGAATTATGATCACAGCAACCTGAGGGACACACACAAATGTGCAGTGTCTGGCCAGTAAAACACAAAGTAGTCCCTGCACATGTTCAGAATTAACCTGGGAACACGTTCAGTCAGGAAGCTGAAGTCACCTGCGAAGCACAGAACGAAGTTATGCAGTGCCCAAAACTATTACCCAGAAACCCAGGGGCTTACAATTGCATGAGGACTTGTCTGCATCTGTATTCAAAACCGGTGCCAAAAATTTGTCGTAGCATGAAGGAGAAAGCCCCATCAGGAGAAAAGATAAAGAGAGAGCAGCGAGAAGAACAAAAACACTTCTGAAATCTGCACTGTAGGCTCTCACTAATTCCTTCTTCCATTTTACCCTAAGTCAAGCAGTTGGCATATGGTGTCTTGGCAGCAAATAAACAACTGTATTTCTTTGTGAAACAGCTGTTTCCACCTCACCTAAGCCAAAAGGCCATCTCTTCTCCATTTTCCTTTTTGGTGTTCTGTTTTTTTTTTTTTTTTCCTGCTGGCAGGGTGATTGAACCGCAGGTTTGACTTTAAGAAGGATAAAAAAAAAGGAGTAATAGAAAAGGGTATTTCACAGACTAAAATATGGCTAATCATCAGCTATCTGGAATACTTTTAGCTTGGGAGGGTGCTGTAGGCTGAAGGAGATTTACTGAAAAAGGTGGATTATGTAGCATAGACCATAATGAAGCCAAAGTATGGTTTTCTAATATGTGGGTTAAATTGAATTGATGGAATAATACCAGGCATTAATGTATTGCACATAGGATTTCTCACCAATAAAAGCCCTTAAAACTGCAAATATATTGCAGGAGAGAGTTCATGCCTCTCCATCT